GGTGGTCGCTGTGCGTCGTCGGCCGGCTGGTACCCTGCACATCTATATTGAGCATATCAGACAACAAAAATTACAAAATTTTTCTAGAAATTTTATGGAATTGAAGAGAGATGCACAAGCAAAAGCTGAAGGAAAGCAGGAGATTGCCAAGAAACCAACTGCTAAAGGTGTCACCTCACCCAAAGAAGTGGTTGAGGCCACATCAAGACCTATACCTCCACCACCAAAACAGTATCCCATTCCAAAGCGTGTGGACTCCGACGGCAACAACAAATCAAAACGACTTGCTCTGGCCAACATCGATAAGCCGACACCGCCGGCAAGTAGGAGATCGAAGAAGAAAAGATCACTTAATGGTCCTAAACAAGATTCATCGAGCTCTCAGGATACTCCTCAAAGAAAGAAGTCTATCACGCCAGAATCAGCGAAAGTTACAGAGAAGACCTCGTCTGGTTCCTTAGCAGATTCCGCACCATCTGTACAAAGTCGTCAGTTTTTTTTAAGAATCTCTCGTTTTTTACCAACGTCATCCAAGCACCGCAGGGGAAATCCGGTTACTTTCTTCAATGAGACCCCCCTGCTCAAGTGCGGCTCCCTCAATGCAGCCTCACCATAACTCCACCAGCCCCCAAAGCGGGGCCAGCACTGAGATTTCTATGCACTTCTAGTTGGTGCGGTGTCAAGTGGTATTTAGCGAGGCTTGTACGCCTATTGCACCTTCTAGTACTCTGGAGGTAGGAAAAGAAATTTTCTGGCCAGAAGGCTTCTGGTAAGTTCACCGTCTTCGGAGCCTCGAAGCATGAAGTTGATCTATCAACTACGCGACCAAATTGTCACACACTCCATAATAGAGGGGTGGATGGAGCAACAGAATCGTGGCCGGTGCAGCTGACTGGAACGTGGCCTGCAACATCATGCGGCGAGAAGGACGAAAGGTGCTTCTGGCGGTTTGAATAGGGTTATTGAAGGGAAGGTAAATATTGATATCACCCAAGATCGAGTATTGTGTTCGGTTACGGTTAAGTTCTCAGTTAGAGTATAAAAAAGAGCACGAAATTCATTGGGGTCTCTAACATTTGCTCTGGTTTGTCATCTTTTACAGCAGCTCACAGAAAAACTTGCCCATCCGTCTATTATATTGACGCTGGCGACTGCGCAAATCATGTGAACACATATATCACGTCCTCGTCTGATTTCTTTTGAATCTACTTATTTCCTGGTTTGTTCAGTGGAACGTCCGCGCAACAACTCTGTGGTGTTGCTATGCAGTCAAACACATATTTTACAGATTTTCAGTAAACTGATGAAACCTGCTAAATGATTGGGATTCACCTGTAGTAAACACATTGACTCCAGTCGCCAACACGTTAATGGCCAGAAATGCACGTAATTGAGCTGCTGAGCCCCTCATCTCGCCGCGCGACGCGCCGGCGGGCTGTGGCGGCCGCTGCCGCCGGACGATTCATGTGCACGTATCTCAACGCCTACAGAGGACCCTGGACGCTCGTCTTCCTCATCAAACGCATTAGGGAAATGAAAATCTACTACACTTCACCGACATCCGAGTATGTCAGATAGCAATAGTCAGAGAAATGGCTTGTTCACCTGATGGGTAAGCCAGGGTCGAAGGCCTAGGCAAGAGTCAGAGACAGTTAGCCTTGTCGGACAGTTCATAAATAGACTTTCAAGGGCAGTTCGGCACCGGGGGAGGGGGGGGGTTGCACTTGCGCCACTTCCCACCGACGTGCCTACCTATCTGGACAGCTATTTCATGAGCTCACAATGGTTAACAGGTTTTACCATGTTGGCTCGACGAACTTGAAGCTTGAGAGGAAGAAATATAGCCTACAACCACACTGGCGAGTCTGAATAATCCACTTCACATCATCCATGTGGGAGGGGTCAGCTTTGAGGGTGACCCATCTCACATAGATGCCCTGCATCACTACCTACTTTGTGGCATAGTCAAAGAACAAATCAAGCTAAGTCTGCCAGCCAAATGCGCAAATTCCTTACGAATAGCAGTCGAAGCATAACTCTAGAAATCTTTGTGAGGAGGAAGTTTTTTCTATTAATCTGTTATGTTACCCTAACTAACACCCTTTTACTTGCGTGACTCAATGTTTCATTGTGTTCTATGAATGATCCTTAATATTCTCTTTTCAGTGGCAACTAGTAGTATAAGTTCAGTGTCGAGTATTGGTGTCTCTGCAGACACTCCTCGTGCCAACAAGAATAAACCCTGGGTTAGTTTTGTGCCTACCCGAGAACTTTCAAAATTATATTAATGCCACTAGTGGCTATCCACCAACATGGGAGTAGCTCCTCCTTCACGAGGTGGCGGAGTGAGATTTGCAAAAGGGTCCAAATACCTGCTCAAGGCTGCGTTCATACTTTGCGACAGCGACCAGTAGCGTTTCGAGCGTCCATCAGCGTTGGCGACTACAAAAGTACAGATATCGATCTAGCGAATGGCAGCGTCCACCAGCGTCTACCAGCGTCCGCCAGCGACCATCAGCGTTTCGAGGGACTAGGAAAATATGGATATTGATTTAGCGTCTACCAGTGTCCACCACCGATCCACCGATCACCAACGTCCACCACCACCAGCGACTAGAAGTAGGCATTGTGTAGTAAGAAACGGGCGGATGAACACGCCAGGCGATTTCACGGGGAACCTCTCCCAGCTGTCTCCGTCCCTCCTAACTCTTCCGCCATACCCCGCACAGCAGTCGCTACCTTTACTCTTGTACCCATACCTTCCAACTCCTGGTCGGCTGGTGGTTCCATAGTTTCCTAGTCCCTCATGGCGCTGATGGTCGCTGGCGGACGCTGGTGGACGCTGGTAGACGCTGCCGCTCGCTAGATCCTTATCTATACCTTCCTAGTCGCTAGCTTCGAGAGACATCCAAAAGCTGATGATCGCTGGTGGTCACTGGAGGACGCTGCCGCAAAGTGTGAATGCATGCTAACTGGGTCGACCTCCTCTGTTTTCTCTGTGTGAAAGCACTTGCTTCGATCCCTTTCTTAGCCCATCAGTGTCAAGATAGATCATTGGATAAATGACTCTCACAGGGTGTAAAAGTAGCCTCCTACGAAATATGCTTAATTTCACAATGGCAATAATTTCAGAGGACCAAGTCTCACAGCCTCTAGATCTCGCTTGAAAACGGTCACTTATAAGGAAGAGGTAAGTGCAGAAGCACTCGATTGAAGTTCAAGTTTCCTCAGTTTATATGATGAATCCATCTTCATTGAGCTGGACCAAGGTGTTATTGCTGAGCGAAATTCAGCACTCACCTCTGCACCTCACAGTCTTGTTCGCTAAGGATCCTGGGCTCTTGTTCGCTAAGGATCCTGGGCGAGTCAGGAGGGGGCTGGCGGCTGGGTCTAGCGCAAGGCCAACCCGTTCTGCACCAGTTATTACCGCCTACAATCCGCTTCAACAATTGGTGGAGAACTGGCGCAAACCACCCCCTCTGACACGCCACGGCATCTCTGCGAGCAAGTCTGTACCTTCCCTTCCGAGTTTATTCAGATGTATCTAGAATAAGAAAAGAGAGCGTTCTTGTAGGCTTTCATGTCGGAGTCGAAGAGCTGGATTTTACTGCTTATATTCATTGTCATCATATGGTTATATCGTTCCACATTGTTCTCGTAGAAAAGAAAGAAAACAAAAACGTCACCTTCAATGTACTAATAAAATGTTTTCACTTTTCCACTATGAGTTCTTTTGGTTACGTGCCACATGGGCCCAAAGTTCGCTGTTTGGCTTACCGTAAGAGGGGAGGGTGAAGGGGAGGCATTTTGTGCATTTGCCAAATCCTCTGGTTAGTTGGTGTTGACTAGCAGGTTTCAGGTAGACTCCTATGAAGCTGCAAAATGGTACAAAGCAAGCGAGCCACTTTGGCTTATAGAATTTCCAACCATTGTCTTTCCTTATGGTGGCCTGTTCAACGCTTCCCGGCTAACCACTTGAATGTCCTTCAGCTGCTACAAACCTGCTGTTCTTCTACCCTCGCATCACATGCGCAGTGGAGGGGGGGGGGGTCTTGTCGAGTGCAAAGGGTTTCCCTGCTAACTTCTACAAACTTTCACAGCCTAGATTCTGTAATCGCATGCGCTCGTTCATAGTTGACCACCTGATGAGAGAAAGCCAATAATCTCTCTCAGAATGTTAGTGTTTTTCAGAGAAACTTAATATCTCGCAGTGAACTAGATGAAAACGAAGTTAACTAAACATCAGCTTAGAAGTCGTCTTGAAGTGAAAGATACGGGAGAAAGTGACGCTAAGGGACTTTTGCAAGGCAGTCAAAGTGTTTTCCTATTGTGGCGATATCTTCTGGTCTCATCCGTGAAGATATGAACTGTAAAAAGCGCGATTAAATATTGGGCATGCTGTCCGTGCGTTCGTACAACCATCTCGTAAGAAGGAAATCCATGAGCTATAAATGTTGCCGTAAATAAATTATAAATTGACTTAACATAAGGACACATTACTGTCTACGATACACAGAAGACACAGATGAGATCACAAACGAAATTCCTATTGGATGTGTAATTTATACAAAGTGAACATTAGATTGAGCAATTGTAATGAAAGTGACATATGGTTTGTAACATCGTATTTGCAACATCGCAATGTCGGGGACGGTGTGGGGAGGGTGAGTGAGCCCCCCTGCCTTGCCTCACCGTGCTGATGGTTTGTGATTGATTTAGGAACAAAACAACGCAGTGCCAGAGATACCGCAGTGGGGCCGTTCATGCCATGTTGGACAATCGACAGACTGATTGCGATGATACCATCTGTGGCTCTCAATGAGGCCTCACCCGTAATTCTTTAGTTTGAAAGATTCAGAGATTGAGCATGAGCTGAAGATACTCATCTTCTCAACGACTACGACGAAATTTCCGACGTGGAGCAAGAGGTGGCATTTTGAAGGCACCGCAATCATGCGGGAAGTTCTTTGGCGGTGGGGGAATGTCATCATGCTCTCCAACCTGAAGAGTAAACGATTGATGCTCGTTCAATGCTTAGCATTGCCTGAAAAATACAATCATTAGGAAAGTCGAGGAAGCAAACAACTGTAAATGCGTAGAGCGCGTTCCACTATGGCGTGAAGCTCGACATGACAATGAGCGAACCACCAGCCTGGATTTGTTGCTCGAAACCTAAAATAGCATCTTAATATGAAAAGAACGACTGAAATTAGGGGTTGTGTTGGCCGCGTTACCGTATGACAATATAGCCGCCCACTGGTAATGTAATTGTGTCCCTGAGCGGAGGGTTTACGGTATTCATGCCTTCAACTGCGCCATTCATCCAAGACTTGTTTCGCCAAACTGCTCCATCACATATCGACTGAATAGCACTTTACAGTTCGGTCCGAGACACTTATCAACGTTTGACCCCCCCCCCCATCGATCCTCCTCAACTCACATTCGCTCCGTCGCAACCTATATCAGGATTCATTGTTGATATCATGCCACTCGAATCGTACGATGGCCATCCAACCTGGAATAGAACGAGTTTCAGTGGGTAGCGCTCTCCCCCTTGAGGTCAACTAACCTTCATTACATAAAAATGAGTGCCGTGAATGTGGAAAGGATGAGCATATCCGGTACTGAACGCTCCACCTGTGCCCATGTTGTACAGTGTAATCTATAACAGCTTATTGCTCATGAAGAGACCGGAGCTCTCCTAGTCTACGTGTCTAGCAAGGAAACAGGTTGAAAAGGCACCTGCACAATGTTGTTCAGCTTGTGTTTCTTATGATAGAAGCAGTTGCAACTGCTATCGAATTTGCTGGCGTTCCGTGAGCAGTTGATTTCACTACAATCCTGAAATGTATGACTTATGTATCGTCGTATTTCTGCCACCGACATGTGTCTAGCAATGCGTTTTCAGCCCATTAATGCGTTCAAATCGTTTTAAAGCTGTAAAAACCAAGTACCCTAGGGTGTTCAAGGGCAATGTCCACGCTGGAAGTATGGGAGCATACACTCGTTCATCGTGCTTTCCTAAGTCGTGCGCTCTTCCCTTCATTGTATAAGAAACAAGGTTGCATCAAAAGGGAATGCCCAGTCATTGGGTGTCTCCGCCCACACAATTAGCGTGAACAAAGTACTCAGCAAGGCAACTATACTCAATTCATTTTCGTTCGTAACTCGTTGGGTCGACAAACGTTTGCGTCCACGTTTTTGTCCCCTCATGCAAAATTCGAATGACAATGACAAGTGCCCCTAGGAGCCAAAAAAGAGGAAGCATGGAGCTGCAGCTATGGAGAAATCGAATCTTGTGGCGAATATGTTCATTTTCATTGCAGACGCTAGGGTGGGCGTTGCAGAAGAGGGAAAGGATTGAGTTTGGCGCAGTGCCAGCCCGTTTTATACCAAGTATTGTCGCTTGAGCGCTTCAGCCGTTTGGCGAGAACGTGCTAGCTGCTAGCAAATCTGGCCCCTCTGGTACACCGCCCATGAATGCTTTTAGCCCGAGTACCTGTGCTAGGTTGTATATCCAAAGTAAGTTGTTCTGAAAAAGCAAAAAAGGCCCTCTAAAGTGCAGGTACGAGACCATAAAACTATAGCGTTCGTAAAGCACGAAATGATTAAGGGCAGGGGGCGGGGGGGGGGAACGCGTCAGTGCGCAACTCGTCGTTCGGTTCCCCAGAGCCCTGCGCGTTTTTATCAAGCACTTCCGGAACGCGAAAGTGGCACTTCATGTTCGCTGCGGCTGGTTGGACGTCAGCGAGGTTAGTTTTGGCGCGCACCCACCCAGTTCTCCATCCATCCCCGACTGGTTGAGCGATCCGGAACGAGAACAACTTTCTAGAAAAGCGACAAATATACTGCCGCTTAGAAAAAAAAAAAAATATAACAATAAAACAGCGGACTGGCACCGCGGCTGACCCATCCCACCTTTACATCGGCCTCATTCTCCGCAGCCGATCAAACTGCACTACTCTGTTTATGACAGGTCGCACCACATGCAAAAAGGGGTAGCGCCAGCGAGTGCAGTCTGAAAGGATGCACACTCCACTATAAGTGGCTACCTCTTAGATATAAGCCGCATATTGTCTTGGTGGTAATAGGGCATTCCAAGCGGATGTTCGTACTTGAATCCATCCACATGCGAGTCGTAGTGCATGTTAAATGAAATGTTCCTGCAATGAACAGAACTCATTCCAAAATACACCTCACTGTGAGCGATGGAGAAAACCGTCCAATCCCCACTCACTTCGTATCCTTGAGTAAACGCAGTATCCTTCAAGATCTCCTTGTCAATTTCAGCGGGTTTCGGATTACGAAGTTTGTCGTAGCAGAAACACGTGAAATTGAAATTGGATGGATAAGATTCGACAACGCAGACAGTCAGCTATCGTGCATCTTCTGACAGCATGTGCCATCCGGGAATAGTGAGAATGGTGGGGAAGCATTAACTCGTCCAAAGCTCAGACTAAGGTCGGAATAAATTAGTAGAAGACAGGGGAGGAAATTATTCATTAAATGTATTCTGCAGTAAAGAAAGACAGAGTAACAGCGAACCATCGCCTTCGCGTTGGAAGTTCCATTAAAGCAAATGGCAGATAAATCTCCAGACGCGAGTAGGGTCATAAAAAAACATGCCCCGGCAGGAAAGGATTCCGCGACCCGAGCAGGCGCTGCGTAGCACGTTTACCAAGGGAGCTACCCTTATAACGCCCTATCAAGCTACAACATACCGACCCAAACGCCACTGCGCCCCCAAATGGACGCCATCTGACTCTCGTATCTTGCGTTTATTGCTAAGTAAAAACATTGAAGCGAAGGGGACGGTTAGAAGCGGATCGCCGCAGTTGCATGGATGTATGTGATACAGTCCTCATCATTGCGGACCGGTGGGGCGTGTCAGCCAGTAGGAGTGCGCACACTGTTGAAGCCGTTCTCAGCCTTTTTTGTTGAAACGCGTATGCGACAAAAAGTGGTAGAAAACGAGTAATACGAAGGATATAATACAGTAATGTCACTTGCCCGCTTCAACAACTGGTGCAGAACGACTTTGGCACCGCGGAAACGCAGCCGCACTGACACGCCCCACCGGTCCGCAATGATGAGGACTGTACATACGTGCAGCCGTACCTACCGTAGCGGTTATTGGCAAGATGCCTACGGGAAACTCGTCCGAAATTGCTTTTTGAGTCATTAAGAACGAAGGTTTTTTTGACCACCTCCGTCGTTTTTTTTGCCATTTTCCCCACTATATAGCAACCTGCTAGCACTCTAGGCCGAGTACGAATTATCGTGCCAACTACCTTTAACTGAAAACGTACAGAGATCCAAAAATTAAAGTTTACTGCTGAACGAGTCGGCCGGGAGACCCACGGCGAAAGCGGCGAAAGTGCTGTTGCAAGTGGTGTCACGTGAGAAAGATTCGCATCGGGACTCAACAAATTTGACGAATTGCAGCAGCTAGGAATAGTAACAAGCTTGTCCGCAACGTGGATCCATACCCAGAGCCGTTAGGAATCCCCAGAAGGAGTTGCGTCTGGTCGCTGGGTCGAGAGTGGAAGTTGTGGTTGCCTTCAGAAAAATGGTTTCGGCCGTCGACTTTTTTCCTGTTTCAAAACAGCCGTATACTCCCAGCCGCACCCGCTCGATGTAGTTTTTTTCGCATAGAAATGATAAATTTTCAGGATAAAACCTCGAAGAAGTGCTAGGAAGTCATGAAAATTTAGGATGATGCTAGGTAGGATAAGGCTGGCAAGGAGGGTCGCATGAGAGGAGGACATTTTCTTGAGGGGCGAATCGTATTCTGCAAAACAATTCCCCAACGGCAGGAAGTGCCTTGCCCGT